ATAATAATAATAATAATGAGCTTGTATTTTTAAAATTTTTGCAGTTATTCAACCTTCAAACATTTCTGATTTTAAGTGTGATATTCCCGAATTAAAGAGTGATAACTATAAGGTGTGGAAAGAGAGAGTTCTTCTCCATTTAGGATAAATGGATATTGATTATGCTATAAGAAAAGACGAATCACCTGCCATTATTGAAACCAGCATTCCGGATGTTGTTGATCTTTATGAAAAATGGGAGTGATCCAATCGCCTCTCTGTGATGTTCATAAAGACCAAGATATCTGATGGTATCCGTGGTTCTGTCGAGCAGCATAATAAGGTCAAGGACCTTCTGAAAGCCATCGATGAGCAGTTTGCAACATCTAACAAGGCTCTGATACCAAATGAAGTAATAATATCATATTCGATCTAAACATGTTCACAAACATAAACAAACATATTTGAATCGAAAAGCCAAAGCGAGATGGGATCATACATACCTCCAGCCATAACCTGCACGAACAGAGTCGACACTCACAACTCTCACGACAAATTTTTTATTATAGATCTTCTAAAATTCTCTCACTCACAGCCCAATGGTGCAAATAAAATGAAGATGAGCAAGCTTAGGGACCAAAACAACAAGTATCACGTTTAATTACAGTGCTCTGCCCATCACAAAGTTCAACAGACGTGAGCAGGGCATATGCGAGTTTTTCTCGCATTATAAACGTTATGGAACGTTACTGAATTCTAGTGTTGAACTTAGACATTATATGGACTACATTTATATGGACTACATTCTGATATGGACTACATTCTGAAATTTATTTCTCTTGAAAACAACAAAGAATTCCAATGATAATTGAAATTAATACAGAGCATTAATTAATTTGGGAATTATAATGAAAGAAATTTATTTCCCTTGAAAACAGCAAGGAATTCCAACATGAATTGAAACTGAAACAGAGCATTAATTAATTTGGGAATCCTAATTGAAAGAATCCCAACAAAATGACGGCACTAAAGAGAAAAATCGGATCGAGAGAAAATCACAAAACGGAAAACAACAGCGGAAACACAAATTTTACGTGGTTCGACAAATTGCTTACGTCCACAGAGCTGTAGAAGATTTTATTGCTTAAGAATTACACTCGTCAATCACTTCGATGATTACAAGAAATTACTCTTCTCCTCCCTTTCTCTCTCTCTCTAAACCGAGAGCTACACTGAGAAGAAGAAAAGGAATAAGAACTCCAAGCTTCTTTCTCTCTCTCCCTTCCTCTCTCTCTCTCTAAACCGAGAGCCACACCAAAGAAGGAAGCCAAGGGGAAAATAATACATGTAATTCCTTTCCTTCTAAAACCAACGCCAAAGAGAGATTACAAGGGGAGCTAGTATGTCTATTTATTAATTACATCATGTCATTAGATCCATTAAAAAATTAATCAAATAATTAATGAAGCTCATTAATTATTTTCTTTTCTCCTCTGCAGCAAATCATAGAAGGAATTAAGAGAAATTATTTTAGCAATTAGTTTCGAGTATCAAATCCAATTTACCGTCAAACATGAGAAAATACCAATTTGAACAGTGGATTGGTTTTCATATTTGCAACAATTCTCCCACTTGGAGACTGGTACACTGGCTGCATCCTCCACTAGCTCTGTCTTCATTTTCTTCAAATATGATATCCTCCACCTCTATAACTCAAAGCTCTTTGTTTTCACGCTAGAAGACCAACTGAAGTCAAGCACAACTTCAGCTTCTCAATAATAACACTCTTAGTCGATATATCATAGTCAACATAGCTTTGTACCTACAAGCTCTTTTCTGGGTTACTCATATATCTACTTACAACTCTCATTGCATGAGCAATATCATGCATCTGCTGAAAGCCCTTTTAAACAAATATAGCTTTATACCTCTTACTGCCATCAAACACCGTCTTCATCTGGTACACACACTTGTTGTGCAATGTCTTCTTCTCTGGTGGAAGTTCTGTCAACTCACAAGTCTAATTCTCTGCTAGAGAATCCATCTTTTCTGGTCGTTTTTCTAGTAACGGAAGATGAAATTTCTTCTAATAAAGATAGTTCTCTATCTACATCCTCTAGTAACCAAAAGTTGTGTCATTAACTTCTCGATCCTCGATGTCATCACATCATCTCTGGCCATCACTTTCCCTTAGATTCAAACATGATCTCTGATACTAGTTGTTGTGAAAAACGGTGACAATAAATCAAAGAATCGGTTCGAGAAAAATCGCAATACAAAAAACAATGCAGAAACACACAGATTTTATGTGGTTCAATAAATTGTCTTCGTTCGCAAAACTGCAAAAGATTTTATTGCTTGAGGATTACACCCGTCAATCACCTCGATGATTATAAAAAATTACTCTTCTTTTCTCCCTCTCTCTTCTCCCTTTCTCTCTCTCTCTCTCTAAACCGAGAGCTACGTCGAGAAGAAGAAAAAGAATAGGAACTCCAAGCTTCTCTCTCTCTCTCTCTCTCTCTAAATCGAGAGCCACATCGAAGAAGGAAGCCAATGGGAAAATTATACATGCAATTTCTTTCCCTCTAAAACCAACGCAAAAGATAGATTACAAGGGGAGTCAGTATACCTATTTATTAATTACATCATGTCATTAGGCTCATTAATGAATTAATCAAATAATTAATGAAGCTCATTAATTATTTCATTTTCTCTTCTGCATCAAATTATAGAAAGAATCAAGAGCATTTATTTTAGCAATTAATTTCGAGTATCAAATCAAATTTGCTGCCAAACATGAGAAAATAATAATTTGAATAGCAGACTGATTTTCATATTCGCAACATCCCCTACTGTCATTCAACAATTTTCAGATTGTAGTTGTTGGTTTCGACACTATCCAAAAGTGCAACATTGCCGAAGCCCCATGTTCTTTGATGATTATTGCTATGAATCTTATGGAAACTCTCACCAAAACATTCCCCAACCCCCAACCCCCGGTGCACTTTGACGAAGAAAAATGTTTATTATTTCCAAAAAAAAAAAATTATGTAGTATTTCTTACAACCACCACACTTTAACAAATCATATTGTAAAAACTAGCTTCGCATCACAAAATTTCTAAAAAACAGAAAAAAAAAAAAATGATCTCCAAATACAATTGTGGTGGCGATTTAATACTCAACATAGATATAAAGCCATTCTAAGTAGACCCTTAAACTCATTAAGGGGGTGTTTAATTAGTAACATACTTTAAATAATATTTAATCCAACCAATCACAAAAATCAACAAAACTAATCTTTCACTCTGCTAAATCCAATTTTCTCGCATTTCCGTCACTTCTTTCGGGTAAATTCTGATTTATTAAACCCAATTATTACGCGGATTTAGCAGATTTAACCTACGAAAATACTTACAAGCGTGAATTTATGCTAAACAAAACAAACAAATTGAAATTGCATCTAACCCTAAATCGAACTAAACACTATTCTAAATTAACAACATCAACATCTGAATTTGATAAATTCGAATTTACTAAATCTTGTCCTCCCATAAAACACTTCCAAACTTTCAAACATAATTATATAACATTCAAATATAATTCCAAGTAAAAGCCCAGTCATTGCTGTCCAAGCTCTTGTTTTGTATGTTGCATTTAATCAATGTCCATCTACTCAGATGTCACTAATGATTTGATAATAGTACAGAAAATTAATTTGACTCATTCTTTGATTGGTTGCCAGTCTTTTCTCATCATCTTAATACCTCAATTAAAGCACTAATATTCCCACTAATCTCTATCAAATGA